GGAAGCGGCTTTAGCTTCTCAGTGATGTGCTTTAACCTGCTGCACCACCAGGGAGGGCCTCACTATTTTTTTTAAGTGGGAAAAATCTGAGCGCTGTGAAGCGCGGCGAGGGAGAGGGCCGCTGCCCCTGCTCACAGCACGTGGGCAGAGCCAGGCCGGCCGCACGCGGCGGAGGGGCTGTGGGGGCTGAGGCCCAGCAACGCGAAGGTCCTGAGGTCAGGGCTGGAGTCCGCGCAGGCCGTGGGGCTGGGGTCTGAGGTTTGGTGTTGGTGTTACACTGGGCCCGGAGGGCTCTGGAGACGGCTTTGAGCTGGAGGGAGAGGGGAGGGAGGTGGCTGGGACGGCGCCCAGAGAGCATACGCGGTGTGGAACCATCCTCGTGCAGGATCTGAAGTCCACAGTGGCCAGGAAAGGATCCTGAAGGAGGTGAAAGGGCAAGTTTCCAGAAGGAGCACTCCGAGGGCAAATTCTACAGATAAGAAGGGGAGAGGTTGAGGGCAGGCCTGAGGGCGTGGCCGCCTCCGAGGTAGAATCCTGCCTCCCCAGGGGTGACTGGGGCCTTCCTCTCCTGGCCCAGCTCCCCACCTTGCGGGAGGGTGCCTAGGTGGGTGGGAAGGGGGTCTGGGCCGTCGCTGTGTAGAGCTCGCCCCATTTTGACCCCCTTTGTGAGATGACCCCCAGCCCCTCCCGCGCAGGCCTGGCCTGGTCTGTCCCTGGCTCCCAGGAGTCCTGGAGCTCTTTGAGGGTTGCCAGAGGGTGGGTAACTGCGGCTCATGGCGGGCACCCCTCCGGGCCTGGCTCTGTTAGGCTCGGAGCCGCAGCGCACATATTCCGTGGGTGTGGGGAGACCCTTGCCTAGCACCCCGGGTCTGGATGGGGCATTAGGTGCCCGGAGCACACAGCAGGGAGGGGCGTGGGACAGGTTGGGGACCTGAGGTGGCGGCATGGGTGGGCTGGTGGGCTCGGATCTGGAGAACATAACAGGTGCTGGGCAGGGGTGCAGGTGGGAGGAACTAGGAAAAGGAGCGGTGGGGGCTGGACTCAGCACCGGCAGGCAGCGGAGCCTGGGTGGTGGGGGGCGCTTCCTGGGGCCAGTCAGGAGCCATGGAGGGACCTGGGGCAGGGGAGAGGTGCAGCTCTGGGCCTCGCCGGCGCCTTCCAGCAGCCACAGCTGGAGCAGAAAGAGCAGTTGGCCCTCGGGGTCCCCAGCGGGTGGCCTTGCCTGTTTCTCCCACCTGGCCTGGTGACAGAGAGGCCCAGGCCGGCCCCCCACTGCCTCTGGGGGTGCTGCGCACCCCGCCAGCCGCTGCCTCCCTGCCGGGCTGCCACTGGGGTGGGCCGAGGCACACGGGGCTGGCGGGGCTGGGTGGAGCAGATAAGGCTTTCTCAGGTCAGGCAGCGGCGATAACGGAGTCCGGAGTCCGGCGGCAGCTTGCGGGCCCAGGAGAGGACCGGCAGTGTATTATCGGCCCCAGGGACGCTCACTTCCCAGGGGTGAGCGAGGCTTTTAACGTGATAAGTGTGGTCGATGAGGGATCTCTGCACTCGGAGGTGTTATTTCCCTCATTAAAAGGTTTTATTTGTCGGCCCTCCCTGGTGGCACAGGAGATAAAGTCTCCGGCTACCCACTGCTGACTGCTGTCAACTACCAACTGCAGCCCAGTCGGATCCCGGCCGGGGGGACCCCAGGGCGCAGCAGGCCTCTCCTGACTCCCCGCTCCCTCAGCAGTGGGTTTCAGTGGATCCGCCTGTTCTGCTCCCCACTCTGTCTCTGGGGAGTCCTCTCACACCCCGCACCTCTGGCCTACACCCCAGTTCTACATATAAATAAATAAATAAATAAATAAATAAGTAAAATATTTATTTGTAAAAGTTTAAAAAGACTCTTATGCATACAAGAGCTGGGGTGTAGCCAGCGGTGTGGGGGGCGGGGAAGATTCACCTGAGACAGAGGGGGCCAGAGCAGGCGCCCCCGAAACCACTGCTGAGGGAGCGGTGGGGGACAGGAGAGGCCTGCTGCGCCCTGGGGCCACTCCCTGGCGTAGATGGAGTCCGAGCTGCAGGGGCTGCTGAGACTCAACTCCGAGGCCAGCCGGGAGGCCCAGAGGCGTCGCCTCACCTGCAGCGCTCTCTGCACACCCGGAGTGCGGACACTCTGCTAGAGAAATTAGATCCCCTGTCGCCCAAGGCGCGGCAAACGTGACTTGGCCCAGGACCCCAGTGCAGGAGTGAGTTTTCAGTTTGGGTTTGTGAAAGGAAGTGAAGAACTTGCCCCCTCTGCACACTAGACAGCGCAGGGCCAGCTGTGCTGAGCCTGACCTGGTGGGGGCCAGCGGCATCGCCTCCCAGCACCCCTCTGAGCGCTGGGCGGGGTCACGTGTGGGAGACACATCTGGTTGCGCACTGTAGGGCGGGGCCCGCCTCCGCACCTCACGCTGAGGCCACAGCTTGTGAGGCAGGCAGCTCCCGGGTGACCTCTGAAAGCAGGGTTTACAGGGCGACTACCCTGATGCCAGGCTGGACTCTCCCTGGCCAGAGCTCTGGGTCCAGTAGGTCCTTAGCGTGGCCAGCTTTTCCTGCAGCAAGGGGTGGTCCCCCTTGCACCCACCTGTCACGGTGGCCTGTAGGCCACTGCCCCGGCTGGATTGAGGCGCCCCCCTCGCAACCCCCCCCCGCTGGTCCCCTCCGCCCTCAGATCCCAGCAGGCCTGCACCAGGAAGTCCTGGGGCCCCGCCGCGATGTCCTCTGACCAAGTCCTCCTCATGGCTGCTCTCAGCCACTGCTTCAATCCAGGAACTCCCCAAGCGCAAGGCAGGTGTGACACCTCCCTGGCCTGAGGTGTTTGAGGGTAGAGAGCCCCTATAAAATGCCCTGACGGGAAGCCCAAGGGGATTGCAACTGAGGTGGGAAAATGCACAAAATGATGTAAAAATAAACTATTTTATATATGTATATTAAAAAAATACCCTGACAGGCTCGCGTGCTTCCCTGACGGGCTGGCCCAGGCCCAGCCCACATGTGCCTCTTGCCTCTAGACCCTGGCAGGGGCTGTGCCCTGGCCCCACTGCCCCCGCCAGGCCCACGGCCCCTCCCCCCGTGGAGACCTGGTGGCCCTGGGGACTCAGGCCTGTTGGCCACACAGGAGACGGCGACCATGGCGTCGCCAGGGACAAGGCTGTTTAGGAAGACAGCACACGTGTGGCCTTTGCACGGCCCCTCTCGGATGCCGTCTTCTGTGCGATGGGTTTACTCTGCTATTAAAACATATTTATGTCCCAGTCTGTTACTCTATGGTGGCCTTGCCTGTTTCTCCCAGATCGGAAGAGCACACGTCTGAACTCCAGTCACTGCTCGACATCTCGGATGCCGTCTTCTGTGCGATGGGTTTACTCTGCTATTAAAACATATTTATGTCCCAGTCTGTTACTCTATAGAGACGTATTTACGCGTGTGGAAGCTGCGTGTTCAGAAGCCCACAGGCCATAAGCGCTCCCTGGATCTTCTCTGCTTGCCCGTGGCCGCGAGCCAGGCCCCCCACGCTCCCCCCAGGAACCGCGTCCCTGCCTCCCCGCACCCCTTAGCTTTCCCGGGCCTCATGCCCCGCCTCCTGCAACCCCACCGAGGCGGGTTCCTGGGTGACCTCTGTCAGCAGCTCTTCTCAGGTGTGCGGTCCAGCCCCTGCCAGGGCGGGAGCCGCGTCTGATCGGGGTGACAGCTGACCTAGGTCCCAGGTGCCCCGCGCGGCTCTGCTCAGACCCAGCAGACAGGCCGCCGCACCCGTGTAATTAATAAATGAAGGATCAGATGGCCGCTGGGGCCGCCCAGGCTGGTCCAGACTCCTCGCGAAGGACTGACCGTCAGGCACTCACGCTGGACCCCAGCTCCACCCCGTCCTAAGGACAAGTGGATCACTCACACTTCTTTTACTTTAGAAGAATAGGGGTGCAGGCCACAGGTGCAGGGAGTAATAGATTGAGCAGAGACAGTGGGGAGCAGAACAGGTGGGTCCATTGAACTATCCTGGGGGAGCAGCGGGAGACAGGAGAGGTCTACTGCGCCCTGGGGTCACTCCCTGGCGGGGTGACTCGTGCCGCAGTGGCTGTGGGCAGCTCCGGATTGCTGCTTTTAACCCCTTGCGCCACCAGGGAAGGTCCTGCGTCCTTTTTTGAAAGTAGAGAGAAAAGACTGGTGAAGACAGGTGCTAATCAAAGGGAGCTCCCGGAAGAGGTGACGCTGAGCTTGAGCGCGCTTCCCTGGAGGGTGCCGCGGCCGCTGAGGCAGGACTGCAAGCAGGAGAGCGCATCACGCTGGCTCGCTCTGCCCACGGTCTGCGCGCTCCTGCACTGGGGTCGTTTCTGGCTAGGCCGGCGGGGCTGGGGCTGGGGCACAGTGGCAGGGGCTGTGGGCAGGGCCAGGCTCTCCCAGGAGGACGGTTAGAGACCATGGAGGGAGGAGCCAGGGGTTCTGGAGCGTGGGTGGGGTCAGATGCCAAGGAGCCAGGGTTCTCGCCTCCCCGAAGCGCCCAGGGAAGGATGCTGGGAGAGTTGGTCGGCCCTATCCCTCCGGGCGAGGATCCTTGCCAAGAGCAGTGAGGGCAGTTGGCTTGAATCCTCGCCCCTCACCACCTGCCCTGCCTTCTCTTCCCCAGGTAAGAGCAAGGAGGCGGAGATTAAGCGGATCAACAAGGAACTGGCCAACATCCGCTCCAAGTTCAAAGGTGGGCTGGGGACTGGACTCCTGGTCGGAGGGAGGAGGGGCCAGCCGCTGCTTCCTGGGCTGCTCCCCGTGCGCTTCCTCAGGCTGCCTCTCCTCTTTCCTCTGCCCCCAGGGGACAAGGCCTTGGATGGCTACAGTAAGAAAAAATACGTGTGCAAATTGCTCTTCATCTTCCTGCTTGGCCATGACATTGACTTTGGGCACATGGAGGCCGTGAACCTGCTTAGCTCCAACAAGTACACAGAGAAGCAAATAGTGAGTGTGGCGAGGAGGGTCTGGGGCCTGGCTCCGGGTCTGAGGGGGGCGCCGGGGGCTGGACTCGGGGTCTGAGGGAGGAGCGGGCTGGGGGCCTGCACCCCGGGCCTGGGGGTGGGTGAGGGCCTGGTCTCAGGGTCTGGAGGGGGCACAGACATACAGAGTGTGAGGTTTGGGGTCGGGGGCTAGCTAGCCACAAGGCCCCCAGCCCCGCTCCCCTCCCCGTCCAGGGTTACCTGTTCATCTCCGTGCTGGTGAACTCGAACTCCGAGCTGATCCGGCTCATCAACAACGCCATCAAGAATGACCTGGCCAGCCGCAACCCCACCTTCATGTGCCTGGCCCTGCACTGCATCGCCAACGTGGGCAGCCGGGAGATGGGCGAGGCCTTCGCGTCCGACATCCCTCGCATCTTGGTGGCTGGGTGAGACCCTGGGGCCCCGGGGCTGTGGGGGAAGTGGGGGAGACACGGCTCCGGCAAGTCAGAGGTTCAGAGAGGTTGCGTCGCCCCCGGACTCCCCCAGGACGTGGGGCTGGCGGGCTGGGGCCGGTGTGGCCCGGGGCCACCTCTGAGGCAGCTCCCCGCAGTGACGGCGGCGGGCGAGCAGATGGCCGGCCCGAGCCCTTCTGCAGGTGGCCCCGGACGCCGTCCGTCCACACAGCGACCATGTCCAGGGCTTCTGCCCTGTGCAGAGCTGGGGGCCGTGGCAGTCATGACCGGAAGCAGACATGGTTCCCGGGCTCCGGGCTGCCGGCGAGCGCCGGGTGACCGCGGGAATCGACGTGGCTGCCCTCGAGCCTTGCTGTGGGGCACAGGAGCCCAGGCGGGCGGGCGCTCAGTGGCACCTGGCCCTTCTGGGGGGACTGGGGAGGCCCCAGAGGACGCTGTCGCAGACTGAGACCTCGAGGAAGAAGCGTAGTCACTGGGGAGAGGGCCAGGGTCAGCCTGGGCAGCCTCCTGGGCAGGGGGCTGACTGCCTCTTGGTCCCATGCAGTATGCCAGGCACTGGTGAGGGCGCGGGGGGCAGAACTGGGCGGCAGGGACTGTTGTGCCGCCCTGGGAGAGTTCCCACCTAGCGGGGCCTGAAGGCCAGAGGCAGACCTAGGTGAGTTCAGGCCGTGCCAGGTGTTCACAAGAAAACAAGGCCGTGGTGCTCGGAGCCCTGGGGCCGTCGCCACGGGAGGAGACGAGTAGTCGAGGCTGAGGGGCGGAGGAGGCCGCCCTGGGGAGGTCAGGAGGGGGGCCTGTGGCTGGAGAGCAGCGAGCAGGGGCAGCGCTTGCCTCTGAGTCGGCGGAGGGGGCGCGTGGTCGGCTCCTCGCGCCCAAGGACGCAGCCCCTGCGGCTGAGTCGGCCGCGCTTGCGGCTGCTGGGTGGCCGGGCTCCGCCGGGCTCCAGCTGAGACCTCCCTGGGTCGGGGAAGGGGAGAGATGCGTGTGGGGCTCAGGGAAGCCTTCTGGGACAGAAGACAGAGCGTGTGGAGCAGGAGGCTTCAAGGCTGCACCTCAAAGTGGGGGTGACCTAGAAACAAACCGCCCTGGGCGCTGGTCCACAACGAGCTGTTCGGAGCCCGGCAGCCCGCACGCTGGTTGTGGGCCCCAGTCCGACACCCAGCTGGGCGTGCCCTGCCTGACGGGAGAACCGCCCCGGCTTCCCCAGGGCTCCGGCCGAGTCGGGAGCCGCCGGCCGGCGGAGGCGCCACAGGAAGGGGAAAGGGCGTTGAGTCCACGCAGCTGGTCAAGCTGCTCTGCGCGTCCGCGAGGCAAGAAGACCCCGCGAACCGGAAG